AAAATATGCAGCGATCTCGCAATTTGCGGCAAAACCAAGTCAACACACCAGTTTAGGGGTGATTGTTTATGAATTTGACTAGTTTTTAATTGGTGTTTTTTTAATTATAGTTGAGTTTGAAAAAAGTTGGTATGGTTAGTTGATAGTGGATATATTAAAATAATAATTTAAAATAAAATAATTAAAATTGATATGATGAAAAGTAAGAGAAAAATGATTGGAAGTGATGGTCAGTTAAAATTATGTGAGTGGATGAATAGTGAATTAAAGTTGATGTGATGTGTAAAAATAATTGGTTGAATGATTGATTGATATTATTTAGTTATATTAATAATATTGAAGATAGTGAGATTGGTTAAAGTTGAGTTAAATTTGAGTTTTGATTGGTTTTTTTTGAGTTGGAATGATAAACAATCACCCCCTCAGTGACTTTCCAATTTCTTTTTTTTTGGGTACAGGGACCTTTCTGTTTTCGGATCCACAGGGAAACCGACCAATCCGGAATCGAGCCGGGTAGGACCACAAGGGCGGCAAAGCTCTCCCTTAAGAGTTTTAACACTGCTGCATTCTCAGGGCTCGAACTCAAGACCACTGGTTAAGCTGGAAGAGACCCAAGTCATCTCATCCAAGCGCTCTTGAGTACTTTCCAATTTATTTAAGTATAATACTAATAATCGAAAATGAAAGAGAATTTGTGGGAAAAACCATACTTAGAAATTATGTAAAACGTAAGGTGTGGTTTTTTTTGGATAAATTAAGTGGAATTTTGTAACTGAACTTAACTTTTTGGACAAATTAATTTTGTAAATTAGTTTTAACTTTAATGTTACAAGATGTCAAATTTAATGTTTGACAGTTAAAAGTTTGATGTTTAATGTTTTTTTTATTCATCTTTTGGTGTTCGGTGTCCAGGCAAGACTTGGCCCTAGCGGCCTTGAGCATATAAATAGGAATTATGCTATTTAGCCAATCTCTATTATAATTTGGTTTATAACCATATGTAATGGATGCATTGAAAAATACAATAATGCACATTTTTTAATGCCTCCATTACACATGGTTTACAACCATGTATAATGGAGGATGGCTATGTAGCATCACTCTCGATACTTAAATTATTACAGCCATCTTCTTTTTTTCTCCAATA